CCATAAGGAGCAGTATCCTCCATGGAGAAGGAGGTTGGAGACCAAGATCAAGGCAGCATGGAGAGAAGTTAGCCAGCTATCAAAATTGCAGAAAGGCATGATGAAGAAAGGGGTACCTAAGAAGTACAACTCACTGTCCATACCTGAGGCCTTAGAGACTGCCAAGCAAAGGCTCACAGCCCTGGCTACACGGCTGAAGAGGTACACCAGAGAAGTTGAAGGCAGGAGAATAAACCGAATGTTCTCCACTGAGCCATCCAAGGTTTATTCTCAGTGGCAAGGTAATAAAATGAGCGCAGACCCACCAAGGCTGGAGACTGAACAGTTCTGGAAGAGCATAGGGGAGAAGGAGGCATCACAGAACAACAATGCCCAGTGATGGACCTAAGAGCAGACCACAGCAACCTCCCTGCACAAGACCCAGTAATCATCACAATGGCAGACATTCAAGAGCGGGTCTCAAGTATGAAGAGCTGGACAGCACCAGGCCCTGACATGATCCACGCCTACTGGTTAAAGAAGCTAACTTCACTCCATGAGCACCTGGTGGGACAAATGAACCAGCTACTAATAGATGGAACCCACCCTGAGTGGTTAACTGAAGACCGGACAGTCCTGATCCTGAAGGACCCTCAGAAGGGAGCAGTACCATCCAACTACCGCCCAATAACCTGCCTCTGCACAACATGGAAGCTCCTGTCAGGCATCATAGCAGCTAAGATGAGCAGGCACATGGTCAATACATGAAAGGACTTGGTAGTAACACCACAGGAGCAAAGCACCAGCTACTGGTCGATAAAGTAGTCACTTAAGACTGCAAGACCAGGCATACCAACCTGTGCACTGCCTTGATTGTACAAGAAAGCCTATGACTCAATGCCTCACACATGGATCCTGGAATGCTTGGAACTGTACAACATCGACAAAACTCTAAGAGCCTTCATCAAGAACTCAATGGGAATGTGGAAAACAACCCTAGAGGCCAACTTCAAGCCAATTGCACAAGTCAACATCAAGTGCGGTATCTACCAAGGAGATGCTTTGTCCCTGCTGGTGTTCTGCATAGGGCTGAACCCCCTCAGCCAGATCCCCACTCACTGGGGTTACGGATACTGACTACGGAATGGAGAAACCATCAGCCACCTCCTCTACATGGATGACATCAAGCTGTATGCCAGGAGTGAACAAGACATCGACTCACTGATCCACACCAAGGATCTACAGCCAGGACATCGGAATGTCATTCAGGACTGGATAAGTGTGGTCAAATGGTAACAAGGAGAAGGAAGGTAGTCAGAACTGAGGGGATTGTACTACCAGAAGGCAACATAGCAGATGTTGAGGGCAGCTACAAGTACCTTGGGATTCTGCAGGCAAATGGGAACCATGAAGAGACCGCAAGGAAAGTATCAACTACCAAATACCTGTAGAGAGTAAGGCAAGTCCTGAGAAGTGAGCTGAATGAAAAGATCAAAGTCTGGGCGATTAACACCTACGCCCTGCCGGTCATCAGGTACCCCGTTGGCATAATAAGCTGGCCAAAGGAGGAGATAGAGGCCACTGACCTCAAGACAAGGAAGCTCCTTACAATGCACGGTGGGTTTCACCCCAAGTCCAGCATCCTGAGACTGTACACTAAGCGCATCCTGAGACTGTACACTAAGCAGAAGGAAGGAGGCTGAGGATTAGTGAGCGTCAGAATCCACTATCCAGGATGAAAGACAGCACAGAGGCACTAATCCTGGCAGCACAAGAACAGGCTCTAAGTACAAGATCAATAGAGGCCTGAGTCTACCATACCAGACAGGACCCCAAGTGCAGGCTGTGCAAAGATGCCCCTGAGACAATCCAGCACAGAACAGCGGGGTGCAAGATGCTAGCAGGCAGGGCATACATGGAACGCCATAACCAAGTGGCTGGCATAGTGTACAGAAACATCTGTGCCGAGTACAAGCTGGAAGTGCCAAAGTCAAAATGGGATACACCGCCAAAGGTGGTTGAGAATGACCAAGCTAAGATCCTGTGGGACTTCCAGATACAAACTGACAAACTGGTAATGGCCAACCAACTGGACATAGTAGTGGTGGACAAACAGAAGAAAGCCATAGTGATAGCTGTAGCAATCCCAAGCGATAGCCACATCAGGAAGAAGGAACATGAGAAGCTCGAGAAATACCAAGGGCTGAAAGAAGAGCTAGAAAAGATGTGGAATGTGAAGACACAAGTGGTTCCCGTGGTAATAGGAACATCGGGGGCTGTGACCCCCAAACTGGGAGAGTGGCTCCAACAGATTCCAGGAACAACATCTGAGATCTCTGTCCAGAAGAGTGCAGT